TTGTGTTAATTTGTTGTCTTGTTTGGCTTTTTTTCTTTTTAAGGAAAGAGGAAGTCAGGAAGGGGTATGGCACAGGCAGCTCTAACATGGGAGCAAATAGGCACATAAGAGCAACTGAAAGAAATGTTCCAGGACATAAGTGGGCTGACTGAGAGGGAAAGAGCAATGACAACTCCAGTTGTGTCCCTACTCAGGGCACCTACACAGCTCTGCCTCCCAGGGTGGAGGCTACAGGGCAAAGAGCCCGACCAGAGTCCCACACACCTCTTGCAGCAGCTCTCTGCGTGCTCAGATAATAACTAGAGATAGACATCAAGGAGTGCAAAGTAAAACAAGTTGTAAATATAAAAAACAATAAGCATAATTGCTAATTTTTTTGTATTTGCATTTGAGAAAAGTAAAACACTTTGTAATTTGACAATTACTAGAAAGTTGTTCTGCTAAGATCCTTTCTCCTCTAGGGCTGTGTCATAATGAAGCTGATATCCTGTCTCCATTTCCAACTAACCAGTTGTTGGCAAGCATGCCAAAAACCAACCCAAACCCTGAGATGGGTTTTGTTACCCTAACTTCAGTGTTCTACTGTGGCCCAGGAGTTACAGCAATGACTGTCTCTGGCGAGTACCCACTGCTGGTGGGATGCTGAGGAGGCTCCAGCAGGGCCACCCAGCACGCAAGCTCCAGCAGGCCTGTGTTATGGCACATTTCTAGTCTTTCCTCTAAAGGAGATACATAAAGAAATTTAAGTTTGGTTGATTTTTAATCTATATTCTAAGTGTTCATTTTCCCCTGGAGGAAAGGAGAACATGATTAGTTTCTGCATTAGGATGTTTCCACTCCCTCCTACTGAATTTTAGGGCATCTTTTATGCTTGTGTTCTCAATATATGCATTCAGACAGCATATTTGAGCTTTGGAAATCCATATTATGGCTCTGATTTATGCTGTGATGACAGACATAAGAGCCCTGAAATCAGTGTGGCACTGGATGGTTACCATGGTTCTTCTGTGAAGCTGGGATGGAAGGATCTGCTTCTATGTTAATATGTAAAAAGAAACAAAGGGGATTAGATTTCACGTTCTAGAAAGAATCAATGCAATTTTCATGTTCCTGCCCTACTCTCCATCATCCTAAAATGCAAAGAAGGCTACTTCCTGAAAATGTCAAGTGTCAGGGGACATCCATGTTTGTGTTAAAGATATAGATATAGATATACACATGCATACATATATATAGCCCTGCTGTGAACACTGCTTTAATGGTACTGGAGAGAGGTGCTGTTGGAGAGATGCACACCTGTAGGTTTAAACATTATGTCCGTCACACCTGCTCTGAACAGGGTTAACCGACAGCTTCCATCAAAGTCCAGAAGAACCCTCTCTCTTATTTTCAGTGAGATGTAAATCGACTCCACTGCAATTAAACTGTGTTAGGCCTCCACAGTTGTTGGTACCTGGTTGCTAACCACTGTTAGCAGCAATTGATAGTTATTTGACAGAATTCATTCAGGTATTAGACAAAGCTTTAAAAGGAAAGGCAGAGGAAAACACAGCACTTGGGAAGAGGAGGAGAGGGTGTGGGTAGTCACGGTACTGAGCTGCAGAAGAACTGTATTTCACAGTAACCGTGCTGCTGTTTGTTCTTGGGAAAAAATCACTCATTGTTCTTTTATCCCTGTACTGCTCTGAAAAATCTACAAAAAAACACAAAAAAACCTGAGAAAACAAACCCAAGGAAACACTAGAACATGAATACAAGAGCAGAATGTGATTGCACAGGGAGATTCTACACTGAACTGAAACATTCATGTTTTGATCATTGAGAACAAATGAAGTACAATGCTGGTCTGTTCCCCTTCTCTTCTTATGTCTCCATTTTGTTTTACTTTGCTTAGCTTAGATTTTTTTCCTTTTTGGAGTCCTGCAGGGAGGAAAGAAGGAGTCTTTGTTTTAAAAAGTCTGAAACCAACAGTGGCCCATTGATCTTAATTAAGTCTAAAATAATACGCTTTTGCTGACCCGTTTGTATTGAATCCAAAAAATTGTATGTTATACCTGCTGTAGTCTCGATCTGCCCCTGGATCCAGTTTCTTCTCCTTGAGCTTCTGGTGGTGGGACAGTAAGCCCAAATAAACCTCTGTGTTTTCAGGGCTATACTTCCTCTTCTGTATGAAACCGAATTTGTCATAATCAGGTGTTCTCTTTGGCACACACCCTCATTTCTTTGACAGATGCCTGTCCCCATAACAACCACCTGTGTTGTCAATAAGTTCTTCAGACCATGAAAGGACACACAGGACACCAGCAGTTTTCACAGGAACACTGGGGGATGCATACAAATTTTAAGCAATCTTGACATGATGTGCATGGGCCCAACTCAGAGCCTCCTGAAGTCCATATGAAACTGCTGATTTCAGTGATCACTCATGTCTCCAGGGGCTGCTACTGACTTTTTGAATTCAGATTTTTAACATGACAAACTATAGAGGCTTAACCTTGTGACTCTTGGGAGTCTAGTATACTCCAATGAGTAAATCTGGTGATGATTAGTCACAGAATAGATGTGCTTTAGGAAAATAGTGGAGAGATTCACAAAAATACATGTTTTGGCATAATTTCCTGTGAATGAGGAGTGTTAGGTGCCGTGGACCTGCTTCTGCCCATTCTCAGTCTTGGTCTTTGGAGACCCCCAACATGCATGCAGGCAGCATGCATAGCCTGATCCTGCTCCTAAGGATGTGTGCATAGGGAAAAATCCTTCAAGGGTCTCCCAGCACTTGTCTCCCAGACTGCTCATGTGACTCACCAAGCCAGCTGGCTTGAAGCTCATTACCAGCTCATATACATGGACACAGAACAGAGGGCACAATCAATCACATGGAAAATAGATAAAAAAGAATATGAAAAGAGGATCGGATAGACGGTGGCCATTAGCTATGGGGCTCAGTCACACTAACATATTGACCAGCAGCCTGCTTCTCTGCAAATAGTCCTTTTTATTCCCCTTTTCCAATGAGCCTCAATCTTTTTTGTTTTCCTTGATCTACCATTGGTTGTCCCTTCTTTCTCTATGGCCTTCTGCCTAAACATCTCATAATAATGCTTATAACTTTAACAGTCTCCTGACTTTCAGATGCTTCAGTACAAATTCTGCTCTCCTTTAAACAATAGTCTGTTTAGATTGTGATAGGGAAGATGTGTGATAATGTCTTTATAATAATTCGATGGGTGAAAGTATGGGTGTTTATGTCTTTGAAACAGGTCTTAATGTCTCTATTAACTTCAAGCAGCAGTTTGCTACAGAGCCCAGAGGGCTTGGCTTCTGAAACAGACAGGAGGGTCTGCACAAGCTTGACTTCCCGAAGCTGGGTGTAAAATGACAGGTTCATATGGTCACAGGGGATCTGTGGTTCACAGGGGATATGCGGAAGGCAGTTTGGGAAGGCTGTACCTTCTTGGTACCTCAGAAGCGAGGAAAGGAAGAGAGCAACTTGTGGCCAGGACTTCAGGATAAAAGGAGGCTGCGTCCTCTGAAATCTCAGGAGGGAAAACCTGTGGGCATGTGCTCCAGGGGACTCTCTCCCTTTATTAAGCAGGACTCCTGTATCTGCTTTATGGACACTGGTTTTTCATACCGTGATTTTCCATACAGTTGCATAGCCAACCCGGGACTTTCAGTTGTTGAGTCTCTCAATAGGTTTTGAGCCAGGGAAACAGCTAAAACATTCACCTTTGACAGACCTATGGGCAATTGATTCAGATGAATTTTTGTGTTTATTTTGGATAACGATTAGCTGCACTGATCACAAATCTATTCTGCCTATATATCTTCCTTTCAGAGCTTTAGGGCAGCGGGATGCTGGTCCACGTGCCTGTTCACAAGCACAAGTCTGAGGATCAGGCTGGACCATCACAAAAGGCTGCAGAAAAGAGGCTGCTGTGTTGCAAACACGAGATGGATGTACAGCCCCGGACATTCAGGAAAACATCTACTGTATGAATCTCACGTTCAGTGCAAGAAGCTCTGTCCGGTGTGCATGTGCGCAGGGATGGCGGCGCAGAGCGGGCTGTGTGAGGGGTATTTGCACCGTGGCGGCAGGGCTGTGCCCGAGCACACGGTGCCTTGGGCAGGGACGGCCGCGGGGCCATGCGCTCGCCTCTGCTGCCCCCCAGAGCCCGGCCCGGAGCAGGCACGGACCGGGTCAGGCACGGACCGCATGGATCTCCGCTCCTCGCCTCGGTGACCCAAATCGTGCGAGCCTGCAGTGGGCGTTTATCCCTTTGCGCATGGAGAGAAACTGTTAGAGCCGCCCAAGACTGAAGGAAACCCGATTCCCCGGCAAAACCTAACCCCATTGCAGAGTGGCTTTTCTCGCTTATACAGCCTGAATGTTCACCCACAGCCTGTCCTCAGAGACATTTTCCTAGGTTTTCTGTATCAGATCTGCTCATTACCATTTCATATGTTTTTTCTTCTTCTTCTCCCCCCCCCACCTTTCCTTTTTGTTTCTTTAAGAGTTGTATAAAACATTAAGAAACTCTAAGGAGTGACATACCCCTCATCTTCACACCCGTCGTTGAGGATTTTTTGCATGATCATGTGTCTGGGCAAAGTCTGTTTCTCAAATCTTTTGGCTGTATAGAGGAGCACAGTGTTACCTACAAATCAATGAAGTCTGTACCTAACCTCAAATGAAGTCTGTTTTTAACATCAGCCATTTTGAGTGCAGCCTGTTACAGACACAAAATACTTTGTCTGGGGACTGGTGCATCACAGAATCACTGAATCATGAATGTTAAGGGGTTGGAAAGGATCACAGATCATCTAGTCCCAACCCTACACCCCCTCCCCACCAAGGGCAGGAACACCTCACACTAGACAGTGTGACATAACACATGCAGTAAATAATTTCTTCCTTAGGTAAACTGGTGTTGTTAGGTCCATCAAAGGGGGGCATCACAGAGGGCATGTCTTAAACAAACGGTTTATTTCGCAAAGTCGCTTGGTTTGCGTAACACAGCAGCAGCCCACACTGGGAAGAGGCCGGGCCCATGGCCAGGGCTGTGCAGCTGCAGGGGCGCTACCGAGGGCTCAGTCCCGCCAGGCACTGGCTGACTTCAGCGGAGCGCACTCGGAAGCACTTCACCAGGCCGCTGGGCGTGTGTGGGAGGGTGATGCTGTGGATCTCTCGCCACTCCTCGTCCTGCAGCGACCTCAAGCATGACAGGGCCCGCCGCCAGAACACAAAATGGCGGCTGCCAGGGCTCAAAATGGCCGCCGCGCAGCCTCCCTCGTGACCCGGCCGAGCCGGGCCCCGTGCGCGGCGCTGCGCGCGGCGGGCTCGCGTCCGCGCTCCCCGCGGGCCGGCCCAGCCACGTGACGCGCCGGCCGAGCCAATCGCCGCGCGCCGTGGCCGTGCGGGCAGCGCGCGGGTCCCGCCTCGCCTCGTTGTGGTGGAGGGCGCCATTGGGAGCCGCCGGAGCCGCCGCTGCCTTCCCGCCAGCAGCGCCCGCCGCCGCCGCCATGGACTACGGGGAAGGTGAGGGCGCTCCCCCCCCGCAAGGGCAGGGCCCGGCCGCCGCCGCCGCTGCCGCCGTGGGGCCCGGCCGCGACTCAAAATGGCAGCGGCCGCTTTGTTAGGCGCAGGACGGAGCCCCCCTCACCCACGTCCTCGTCCTCCTCCCCCGCCGCCACGGCCGGGCTGGGGGAGCTGCGGCGGCGGCCGGCGGCGGGAGGGCTGCGCGGGAGGAGGGCCTCCCCGGGGCGGCGCGGGCGGGC